CCCCCCCCTCTCACCAAAAAAAAAAAAGTTCTTTGCAGTTTTGAACCAGAAAGTTTTTGCAAGAAACACTATTTAAAAGCATTACCTTGCAGCATAGATCCTTCCACAAATCTCCATAAAATGTGAACTTCACGCGCTCCCTTCCAAGCCAACAAGTTTTCTTCCAACTTCAGTAATGTCGATACCAGTCACAGATTTCAATACTGGTGGAACGGTTGCAACCACATCCGTAAGAGATCCGGCTTGGCTAATATCTCCACCAATAACGAGAATTTCTTTGGTCCGTAGTAACGGCTTTGTAACATTTCTAGAAATCTAAAAAGAATAAATTAGTATACAGAACAACAGCAAACGAAAATGAACTTCAACAGAACTAAGAAAACAACCGACTAACCTCAGGAAGCTTTTCAAGGACAAGTGCGGTCTTTGCGGCATCTCCATAAAACTTATAAGCATGAGCACGAGCAAGCATTCGTCCAGCCTCCGCTCCACCTACAGCTTCAATTACAGCCGCCTGAGCGGCGCCAATACATCTTGTGGCTTCAGCATGCGCACGGGCTTCTTCAACTTTACGGGTTCTACAAAGACAAAATAAATGCTGCATGCAACTTTAAACATAGAGTCACAAAAGCCAGGGTCTTTAATGAGGAAAAGAGAAAAAATTCATTTTACTTGTCCCCTTCAGCAACTGTTTGTACTTTATAAGCTTCTGCTTCTGCAGGCAGTTTAACCGTTGAATAAAGTTCCTGCTCCTTCCTCTCAGCCTCTTTCTCTTCAACGGTTATCTGAAATTGAAAAATAATAAAAAAATGTACAAAACCTATGAACAGCAATATAGAGAAATCAAATAAATATGAACGAAATTCACAAATGCTAACAAGTTTCCGCCGTTCAATGATATCAATTTTAATTTGTTCCTCCCGAATAGACTGCATTAACTTTGCTTTTTGAAGATCATATGCCAGTTCAGCTTCCGCTTTCTGCAATCATATCTTTTTTTTTAGTATACAATTCCAGAATATCAAACAATGCTTTATACAATTTCTGCAACCTTCTCTACAACTAACCTTTCCTCTGAAAAGCAAAGGCTATAGCAGAAATGTTGAGGCACGTTTATAACCTGTGAAAAATCAAGACGTCACAGCAAGTTTATTTGAAAGCTGATGCTACCTTGGCAGAAACAAGCACATTGAACTCCGCTTGCTGCATATCGAATTGCCTCTTAGCATCAGCCACTTTAGTCTCCACAAGATATCTTGCATCGGCAGCAGCCTTCAAACATTCTGCTTCAACAATCCCAGCATCGCGATTGGCTTCTGCTGCACCAACCTACATCAGCTTTTTTTGGCGATGTTGTCATAAAAAACTAGACAATATACGAGGTGTTACTCGTAAATCAAAAACTACTTGACAAAACCAGTAATGGTGTACGGTAGAAAAAATTGTTAACAATGAGACACCTAGCGCAGAGAAACTCTTCCCTTCAAAAAGATATAAAAGCAGTGAGTGGAACCTCTGCATCTTTCTTCACATCAGCAGTCTGACTTTTTCCTAGAGACTCCAAGTAGTCGACGGCGTCTACTACATCTTTTATCGTAAATGATAAAATCTCCATGCCCATCCTACCCAGATCAGGAGCCGCAACTTCCCTAACAAGCTGGGCAAACCGGTCGCGATCTTGATAAACAGCTTCAACTGTCATGGTCCCTGAAAAATATCAGCAGTTTGATGTCTAACTGAAATCATATGTATGCTAAATGAAAACCAGAAAAAGAAAAATAAGAAGCAAATAGCACTAAAATGCCTTCTTAAATAATTATAGCGAATTTTACAAGAAATAACTAGTTATAACTGTTTTTCAACCTGACTGATAATAAGCCAAGAAAAATTTTTACATCTCATTAAATGAGTATCTGAGAAAAAAACTAATTATCTAAAGAAGTAGAGCAAATTACGACTTGCCCAGAATAGCTCGAAGATGACCTTCTAAAGTCTGTAGAATAACTTCAGCAATATGCTTCACTGACTTGCCCAAAAACTGCTCACACGCTGTCTCCAATAAACCGTGATCTAAACGCTACTCCTGATATAACTTTAAAAAGTGGAAAAAAAGCCTTATAAAAAAAAATTAAATTTCAAAAAAAGCTCTTTTGCTAACCTCGAAAAGACGAAGATGAAACACTAAAAAAAAAAATTTTTTATCTCCGACGATCTATAGAATCGAAAGCTACTATTACCTGTCATGACCTTTACTTGAGCAACACCTGTAACTGTCAAAGGAACTCCCTGCGCCGTTTCAACGTCTTCTGACCTTGGGTTCAATGTCATCACTTCCAAGGACAGACGCTGAACGTTCGACACAAAATACCATGACCACCCCCAACCTCCAATAATGATTTTTCTAGTCGTTCCTCCGCACCAACTTCCTAAACTAGCAAATTATACCGGTAAAAACAAAAAAAGTTACAGACAAAATAAAGAAAAAATAAAATAAAGCGGCCAGAAACTAAAGCAGACAGCGAGTCACACCGGAAATAACCAAAGCTTCATTAGGTCCAACGGTATTGATGTTTCCCATCTCCAAAAGCTATCATGAGCAGCAACGCTGTCCGACTAGCACTTCAACCTCTGAAACGCTAATGATTTTTATAGCCAAAAAAAATACAGTAAAGATGTACATGTAAAATCTCACTACTTGAATGCTATCAACTTTCTCACAAACTACTAAACATAAAATAAGACAGATGTTAAAAAAATCTCCTTGCAAACTAAAGCAGCGTCACTCCCCACTAGCTGTTCCAGTTCCATTTCTATGAACCGTAATAAAACTAACACATAAAACAACTGTACGACAAGTAGAAAAGATCGAATCCTTAATTTGGAGTAAATGAGGTTTGCAAAAATCTTTGAGGATTATGAAATGTCATACTCTTGTTTATACCAATCTCTGACTACAAAACAGCTAGAATTAAACTCTATCAAGTTCCTAAGTATTTTACAGATCTACGAAATAACGCACCAATATGGCCTTCATACGTAAATCTACAGTAGCTTTCCAGCTTAGAGATCTGAAAAACAAAAAACGTTTAAAACCATAGAATATAATTTCTATCAATTAATTTATGATTGTGAAAATAATCAGTACATAGACTGTGCGAGAAGCGTAATATAAATTAAATGAAAAAACCTGACTGCACTGTTCATATACGCGTAGACATCGACTAAACTGTTCAAAAAAGTCAGCATTATTAATACAACATTTTGAACTTTACTAAACCTACATCTACTAAAATCTTCATTAGAAGAAAAACTAGCAGACTTCCATGAACAAAATATGATAAACCGCTTAAAAAGATTTTTTTGAGATAAAAAACCGGTGCAACTCAACTACGAATGTCGCATTTTTTACCGGAACCCTTCAGCTACCATTATTATCTGACATATAACATACGACACTAAAACTTTATGAGAAAAAATTTTCTCAATGTATTGCATAAAAAAGACCGTTCTATGTACGGTTCGCGTCTGTAATACCATTCACTCTTCAAAAGGTAACATAACAAAAAAACTTACATTTATATAACATCGAATATAATGCGTCATATGTTATCAGCACGAACCAAAAGTTAGGACAACCAAACACCAATGAACATAAAAAAATTTGTTTACAATGGTGATTAAATACCTTGGAAATTTTTCAAATTAAAGAAAGAAACCAGTCAGGACCTGCGTAACCATAAAAATCAACGAGAATAGCAGCTGAAGCTAGCAAACCCTGAATCTGAAGGCATTAGAACACTAAAAACTTGCTACACATAACCGACTAGCATGGCCGGCTTTCAGAGAACGGGTGGTGTGTCGAAGATTTTCACGGGTGCTTTCACCATTGGTGGTCAGCTGTTGCAGCTGTTGATTTCGCACGCGACGCGGCTACTAATTTACCAGGTCACTCTGGTAAGGAAGTTTTGTGCACCAGCAGAGGAAGTGAATTCAGGTATCATTTGGATGGTTTGGATCATTGATCAGTCTTGGTTGGAAATCCTGCTGAAATTAAATCATTAAAGAGCGTTGCCTTTTAGAACAATCTGACAATGAACAGAGAATTTAGCGGAACTTCTGCAGTCCATCAGTACGCACTAACCGTACTCCCCGAGTGTCCATCCGTAGGAAGGAGTTGGGTGGAAGACAGCAGTCTCCTCTACCAACCACTACTCCTCAAGAATTAACAATGGTACGTTTTAGGACATAAATTTAGCAGGTCTCTTGGTAGATGGAGTCAAGTGACATACAAGAAATTTCTAGAGGTAGTGGCATACTCTTATAGTCTCATTGAAAATTATGTAGATAAAAGATAGTGACGTTTATTGGGAACAGCAAATGATTCTTTCTCGTTTCTTTTACTGTCACCTTCCTTCTGCTTTTTTCGCTAAAAGAAAAGTAATAATAGTGCGAGTAAAATTTAGAACGGCCTGCTATACGTTCACTCAAAGAATATATCTTTAATAGTATTTAGCTGACGTTATTGACCACGTACCGCTGTTTATTAAAAAAAGGAAAGAAGCGCCATGAAGCAGGAGGGGTAGTTTGCTGGAAGTCTTTGTAGTATGTTCAGTAAATATTTTTTGAAGGAGAAAATACTGGCAAAAAATAAGTCACGATTCCTTAAAACATTTTAGGCTTTTAAAAAAAACTAGGATCTAACAAAAGATAGTTTAAAAAATTGTCACCACGACAGTTTTTCGAATTTCCTGACACCAATATGTTTTCTGAAATTGAAAAACAAAATTGGTACGATGTCGTTTGGCATACCGAATAAGACAAATATGTTACTCCAACTACGTCGCTCAGTTATTTAAATTGTTATATGATTTGTTATATATTTCCTAAAATAATGTTCCTTCATTAGTATTGTATAAGCAAATGTGTGGGGCCTCTTTTCGGTGCAGTCTCCTTCTATCCTATCAAGATACGCAGTTCTTCAGATTAAGCAGTTGTTTGACATAAAGTCTGCCACCCCTACATTTCAAAACAAACTTAGATTTGTTGGTCAAAGCAAGCTAGTACACATGTACTCTGAAAGCCGAATGCAAGCCGACGAAGATAATGGAAAGTAAATTCGTGCAGTGCATTGCAATCAAAGTAATAGTTCTACAGTCTTAGAAAAAATTTGGTGTTGAAGCAGAGAACTGCCAAGTTCGAAAACACACAAACTTAAAAATGAAACATCATAATCTACCGCTGAATAGATGACGGTAAAACTATATCCATTGCTAATGGCTAATAATGAGTTCCAATGATTCTTGTCAAAAGAATCGGATGAGGAAGAAAAGCGGTATAAAATCAAAAAAGTAATGAAGTTTTTCAAATTTCTTTGAGTTATTCAACAACAAAAAATTTTAGTGGAACACCTGTTGTAAAAATAGCTAAGCTGAATCATTTCTCAATGGATTGCTTATAATATCGTATTTGATGAGATGTTCATTGAAACGGGAATCCTGTCATTCTTAGAGGCGCTAAAATGCTGCGTCAGCTTGGAAATTCTTGCAGTTCATTGTCACCAATCGCACTGTAAATCGCGATATCATGAAGAAGCCGACATGCAATTTTTTTCACATCTTATACAAGAATTTTACCTTCAAAAAATTAATCTTTTTTTAAAAGATTTCAAAGGTAGCTTTTTTCAGAAAAAGCTTTTCCAACTTTCAATTTTTTAATCTTGCATGTAATTTATTTTTATAGGTATCTTACCACTTCTCTAAATTTGCAGGAAACTGGATATAAAACGAATTAAAAATTACAGAAATGCGTAGTGAATAAAAAAAATCACAAGTTCTTGAAGATTACTGTTTTTAGCCAAAACTTTGCTTTCCTTTTTATTTTAGAACGGTCTAACTTTGTCGTTGGTGTACTCTTTGAGGTGACCTCGTTTGATTTCGCAACCCGGTGCCAAGTCTTTCGAGTCGGCAAGGAATGAGAGGTCGCCTGAAAAAAGTGCAGCACTCCATGTAGAATGCTTCGCATATGTACTAGCGCACTTACCCTGCTACGAAAAAAGCCACCTTCTCCAGGTAGCAACTGGCAATTCAGAAATATCGAACAATGGAAAACACTGGACAAACTTTAATGTTGGTGGTTCGCTCAATCATCTCTAAAAAATGGAAACGGTAAACACCGTATACACAAAGCTTGTCAGCAGTGGCTTCGTTCCAATTATTGACACCCTTTCGATAGAGAAAATGTGAAAGACATTGCCAGTACCGTAGTAGAGATAAATAAGGGATTCAGCCCTCTAAACGTGAACATCGACATGGTCATAACAATCCATAATCAGATAAAGACTTTCACGTATTTAAGAGATACATCCGGGGAAGCCTTAAATTGCTCTAAAAATGGGCTACTCAGCTCTGCTATCCGACCAGGGAGAGTCTGACGTTTTTTGAATCACGCGTCGACAGTTACGCTGGTATTTTTTTCGTTCTAGTCTGCTGTAACTTCGAATGGCTTCTCAACTGCCTGAAATGTTCACTTAGTAGCCAACCTATATTTGTCAAAGTACTTTGAAAGCAAGATATCTGGTTATGATAATATAGTTAGAGAGAGTAAGGCATCATTCCTTGTTTACCTGTTTAGATGTTCTTATTTTTTGTTGAATTGTGAGAAATACAGCAACTTCATGCGTTTGAATTATTGGACGGTCACAAAAGCGAGTTGAACTAAATACCACCTAACTACCATCTAACTAAATATTCCAAATTTGTGTTAAAACCGCTATGTTCCTGGTGAATTAATGAAGTGCGAAAATTTCTAAGGGTAGTAGTTTCGGAAAACTGCTGCATTACCTCCGAATTAAATTGCTGCATATATTTATATTGTGCATTGAACAATTAAAAAAATACCATACAAACCAATGCAAAATGAACTGTTTAACAATTAAACTTTCTTCTTAATCTCGCTTCGTACAGTAACTAATTAGAGTGCTTTAATCCTGACCATTGTTCGCACAGTTATAGTTCTACGTTTTATTGGTGTATAGACTGAAGAGGACAAAAAATTTAAGAAAAGGATTTATACAGAAATAACTAAAGATGAGGCGAAATCCAAAGACAAATAATGAACGAAAGTAAATTGATGAAAAGAAAATAACTGACAAGTAAGATCAAGAATTGGATTCACTGACGGTTCTTAAAGAAGTACAATACTAAGAGAACAAAACGTGATAACTGAAGTCTTCATCAAATTGAACCTCTTTTATATTGTTTACAGCTTGAAAAAAAAAAAAAAAAATACATATTCCCTGTACTCAAAGTGCCGATAGCCAAAAAGCTATTACTTAATTTCTTTCCAATAATATGGTGCTAAGTGCTTCAATTATTTTATTTTTATTTTTATTTTTTTTTTTTTTTAATAGTCAATTGTCGCATCTGCAACAATTGGCAGATGGTTGGAGACTTTAACGATATGAGATGGACAAATGTAGGGTTTTTTGTCACAGTTCTTTATACATCAGTAAAATTGGTCACTAAAGTAGCTTGTTTGGCTTTATTGTTTAAACATTTATTTGTTTTGTCTTCAAAACTG